TCTTGCCAGGCCAGACAGCTCTCTGGGAAAAAACACAATTAAAACCTTTAGAAATATCTAAAATAAACATTTAAAATAACATGTTTGCATAAATATGCACAACCTTAAAGGAATAGTACACCCAAAACATGATTAGCCTTCATTTTCTACTCACCCCCATGCTGAACAACACTCTGGAGTACTTTTTTGATATCTCAAATGCATCTGGAGATCTGGGAGGCTTCTTGCTGTCTGCTGACATTCAAATAATGGAGGTCTATGGCGCCCGAGGCAGAAAGGTCCATAAAAGTCCACAAAAAACGTGTCAATATCCCTCCATACTGCTCGTCCAATGTATTCCAAGTGTCCTGAGTGGGTAGCATCCATAATTTACTCGAAACGAAGTCATTTAGAATGTTTTTAGAGCATAAACAGTAGTGTATAGGATTTCCTGAAAGCGCGCACATGCGCGATCACGACGCTACGGAAGCCGGCAGACCAAACCAGATGAAAGTGCGCATTCAGCGTCTGCTCTGCCAATAATGCAAGCGTAGAAGAAGAAATGTGCTGTTTACCTGTGCAAAGAAAAAAAACAACGAAAGAAAAATGTCTGAGGACTTCAGTGTTGAGGAAGAGCATGAGTTCTTTGCCGAGCTGAATGCGCTGGTTTGGTCTGCCGCGGTTTCCGTAGCGCCGTGAACGCGCTTTCAGGAAATCCTATACACTACTGTTTATGCTCTAAAAACATTCTAAATGACTTCGTTTCAAGTAAATTCTGGATGCTACCCACTCAGGACACTTGGAATACATTGGACGAGCAGTATGGAGGAATATTGACACGTTTTTTTGTGGACTTTTATGGACCTTTCTGCCTCGGGCGCCATAGACCTCCATTATTTGAATGTCAGCAGACAGCAAGAAGCCTCCCAGATCTCCAGATGCATTTGAGATACACTATATTGCCAAAAGTATTTGCTCTCCCATCCAAATTATTGGAATCAGGTGTTCCAATCACTTCCATGGCCACAGGTGTATAAATTCAAGCACCTAGGCATGCAGACTGTTTTTACAAACATTTGTGAAAGAATGGGTCGCTCTCAGGAGCTCAGTGAATTCCAGCGTGGAACTATGATAGGATGCCACCTGTGCAACAAATCCAGTCGTGAAATTTCCTCGCTCCTAAATATTCCACAGTCAACTGTCAGCTGTATTATAAGAAAATGGAAGTGTTTGGGAACGACAGCAACTCAGCCACGAAGAGGTAGGCCACGTAAACTGACGGAGCGGGGTCAGCGGATGCTGACGCGCATAGTGCGAAGAGGTCGCCAACTTTCTGCAGAGTCAATCACTACAGACCTCCAAACTTCATGTGGCCTTCAGATTAGCTCAAGAACAGTGCGCAGAGAGCTTCATGGAATGGGTTTCCATGGTCGAGCAGCTGCATCCAAGCCATACATCACCAAGTGCAATGCAAAGCGTCGGATGCGGTGGTGTAAAGCACGCCGCCACTGGACTCTAGAGCAGTGGAGACGCGTTCTCTGGAGTGACGAATCGCGCTTCTCCATCTGGCAATCTGATGGACGGGTCTGGGTTTGGCGGTTGCCAGGAGAACGGTACTTGTCTGACTGCATTGTGCCAAGTGTAAAGTTTGGTGGAGGGGGGATTATGGTGTGAGGTTGTTTTTCAGGAGCTGGGCTTGGCCCCTTAGTTCCAGTGAAAGGAACTCTGAATGCTTCAGCATACCAAGACATTTTGGACAATTCCATGCTCCCAACTTTGTGGGAACAGTTTGGAGCTGGCCCCTTCCTCTTCCAACATGACTGTGCACCAGTGCACAAAGCAAGGTCCATAAAGACATGGATGACAGAGTCTGGTGTGGATGAACTTGACTGGCCTGCACAGAGTCCTGACCTCAACCCGATAGAACACCTTTGGGATGAATTAGAGCGGAGACTGAGAGCCAGGCCTTCTCGTCCAACATCAGTGTGCGACCTCACAAATGCGCTTCTGGAAGAATGGTCAAAAATTCCCATAAACACACTCCTAAACCTTGTGGACAGCCTTCCCAGAAGAGTTGAAGCTGTTCTAGCTGCAAAGGGTGGACCGACGTCATATTGAACCCTATGGATTAGGAACGGGATGTCACTTAAGCTCATATGTGAGTCAAGGCAGGTGAGCAAATACTTTTGGCAATATAGTGTATCAAAAAAGTACTCCAGGGTGTTGTTCAGCATGGGGGTGAGTAGAAAATGAAGGCTAATCATGTTTTGGGTGTACTATTCCTTTAAGCTACTGCTTTGTTACTTTTATTATTTTATTACTCCTCTTTTGGGGAGGAGCATCCCAGCGTGTAAAGCTGCTCCTAATCTGACCGATTGCCCGGGCAGCTCCTCCTGATTTAAGGAAAGTTTATGCTTTTGACGCATAGCCTGTGCAACCTTCAAATCTGTGCGGAACCACGCCCCCCTCCCCGCAGAGGTTCTGCAACCGTCGTCTCACACCTCAAAACAATCTTTACTACGCGTCGGACAGTCGCAAACCCGCGCATACCTCAAGTGGAAGTGCGCAGACAAAAAGCAGCTGTGATTTGTCCTTGGATGCCTTTCCGGCTGTCTGTGTGGTCGTCCTTCTCGATTCTGTGCCTGGGCGTGCCATTTTTCAAAACAGGAACAACTACAATGGACAACTACGACGAAAGGTTAACCGATCTTTTTGCCAACTACATTAACAGAACCTGTTCCTCTTCGATGTCTAGCAACTCTAGATCCATCTCCGTGACCGTGATATCTTGCCGACGTCCCATTGTTATTTTGAAAGATAAACACTCAAGTTCTCGCGACTATCCGCTAAAGTTCTTGCAAGTTCTCAACAAGGCTCCCCCTAGCGCTTTGGTGGGAAACTGCTGCGCGTCCCTACAAATTCCAGACCGACATTAGAAGCATACAAAAAAAAAACTGGTTTACGACCAGACCTAAGCGACATTTGACGTGCGCGGTAGCAGAAATATAATCTGCGCTTTAGATGTTTGCTTTGTGTCATTGTCGTGTTGAAAGACAAAGTTAATTTTCAGCTTTCTAAAGGTTTTTTGGCAGCACTAACTGGTATTTGTAGCCGTTCAAAATTCCCCCTACTTTGACTAAAATAACTGAAGAAAAACAGCCAAAAGGCAGGATGCTGCCACCACCAGACTTCACTGGAGCTATGGTGTTCTCATTGATGAGCAGCATATCTTTTGAAAATATGTCTAAAAAGTTCCTCATTGGTTTTATCAGACCAAAACATTTCTATTATATTATATATTTTCTCACGTTTGCAAAATTAAGTTCAGCTATGATGCTTTTCTATGTGAAATAAGGCTTCTGTCTTTGCATTCTACCCCAAAGCCCAGAGATATGAAGAATACAGGAGATTGCTGACACATGTATGACCTGCAGCTCCTTCAGTGTTGCTGTCAGTCTCTTGTCAGACTACCTGACTAGTTTTTTCTCATCAGTTTTTGACGTCTCTTTGGATGATCTTCACTGAGCTCCTGAACACCTCAGCTTTATTTGCGGCTGATCAGAGGCACTTTATTGGTGACAGGTGTTTGCTGACTCCAGTTCAACATGTTTGAACGTAACTGGTTTAATCAGCCACACCCACAGTTATAAAAGGATGTGCACACTGTAAAAATATTATATCAGTTGTTTATTTTATTTCACCTCCCTGAAAGATTTCTGTTTCTTTCAACTGTATTGTGGAGGTTATATGTCAAAGGAAAGGTGAAAAAAGATGTAAAATTATTCCTTTCGTTGAAATTTATTAACATGACAAGAACCTAAGTTTTAAGCAGGGGTGTGAAAACTTTTTATTTCCACTTTAATCTGTAAAAAAAAGCCAATATGTGTCTAACTGAGCCTTAAATAAAGCTGTTGCGCTTTTAAATTAGAGTTGAGTACAGGGTAGCAGATAAAAGGACCATGTCGACTCTGGAGGAGCTGCAGAGATCATCAGCTCACGTTTATAGAGAAAAAAAAGACAAAAATGCTTTTTTGCATGAATATTATCACCATGAAGAAACATAGCAGTGGCAGCATGATGTTGTGGGTATTTTTTTCTTCAACAGAAACAAGAAATCTGGAATTAACATGCAGAAATCCTAGAAGGAGATCAGTTAGATGCAGCAGAAGGCAAAGACTTTAATAATAGAGAAACAGAGCCGTTTAGATCAGCATATTAAAATGGTCCAGTTAAGAATCTGAGGCAACACTTAGTGTTTTCTTTTCTTTATCTTCTGCTGCTTAAATAAAGTCTATCATTGAATCCTTGTCATGAACCTTCAAAATCGTGGTTTTATTTGACATAATGTAAAGTACAATAAGGTCTTAAATGATCTAAAATGTTAAGATGCCTAAAATGAATTATTAAACAGCAGAATTTTCTTTGTTTGTCTTCACATTCTATTGACGGTGCTCTAAATCGAAGTGAACAGCTGTGTGTGTGCTGACAGATTCATTCATCACCTCGTCTTCTCATTTCGGCACCCAATCTGGAAGCAGCGCTATGTTTCATTTATGAGGAGAGAAGCTGGTGTGGCGAGCAACGAGCTGCCGCCGCCAGGCTAATGAGAAATAGAGGATGAAAGGGGGGGGGGGGGACCATAACAATGGTCCTTCTTGCTGTAGTAGCAGTCTTCAGAGTGGCAGGAAGCTCTTATATTCTGCTCTTCAGGCCGCTCAAGAGGTAATCAACAAGAGTGAAGCAAAGTGGGAGCTCTTTCTTAAGGCACAAGAGGAGGAAAATGCATCGGAGAAGCATTAGTCTGTTTAATCTCTGAAAAAAACAATCATCTTCTTAACCGATCTCTAATTCTCTCCTGTTGTTAACTAGAGATAGATATTAAGGTGGAGGAAACCAGGTGCTGCTGGATCTTCTATTGATCTGCAGGGCGTGACAGTAATCATTAAACCGGTCCTTCAACTGAAGATGACAGCAAACACACAAAACACCAACATGCATTACAGGAAAGGACTGCTACTCACTGAAGGCGGCGATTGCCAGGATTATGGTGGCCACGATAGACGCCCAGGACACCCAGAGGGCTTTCTTGCGGTAGCTCTGCGCTTCGTGGGGCTTCAGGCGCATGCTGCTCTCCAGCAGACCTACACAAAGAGACACAAAAAAATGAAACTTCAGGAAAACTAAACTTGTTTTCATCCTCCCACTAATAATAGCTTATCACAATTTACAGAACAATCATTTCTCCAAAAACAAAAAACTTCTCTTTGACATCCTTTTGCATTCAAAGTGTTACTGTGGACCTTTTGCTTTCCATCTGTTTTTTATTCATTTTTAATATGTACATAATCGTCTCCCTAACCGTTTCTCCTTTCTTTTCCCTTTGTTTTTGTTTTGTTTTTTTGGGTAGTTTGCAGAATAAGTCTTGTGATTATAAACTTTTTTTTTTATATATATTAACCAGTTATTGCAGCAAAGCCCAGTGACTCATGTATTCAAGAATAAATGTTTCAAACCTCATTTAAAACCTTGTTACTAACATGCCTTAAACGGTAAAAGAACTTACTTTACCCTCAATTATTGCTATATTAAAATGAATCCTGGTTTCCAAACAGGAAGGGACCAAACTCTGTGCTGCATATCTCTTCCTGTCAATCAGAGATCTACAACCTGTGGCTCCAGGGCCACAAGTGGGCCCTTTACAGCGGCTCTTATTGACTGATTGGCTGATTGATCTCACAGTGGAGAAATTTACTCGTTACATCAGCTCAAATAGACAAAAACAGAAGAAGAAGGTGCCAAAGGAAGAACAGGTGCATGGGATATATACAGTGTGTCCACATATGACAGCTTTTATTCTTTAGCAGGATTTATTATAAGATGATAAAGAAACAAATAGTGGTTTTGAATATAGTATCATAACAAATAGTGTTTTTTAAGTAATATTTACAACAGAATTACATTATAATATGTTTTTAGATCTATTTTTATTGTCATAGGTTCAAAACTTTATATTTACATTGTTTTATACAAATAATACTTATGAGATTTTCATTTATTTTCTTTATTTTAAAGCCTAAAAAATACATATAAAGTGCTGGTTGTTTTAAATGGCAAGAGTTACCAAACATTTAACAAAAACAACAAATTATATTAAAAGATTATGGGACATTCGTTACTTTAAGTTATTATTTTTTTCCCTGTTGGATTTAGGGCAAAATGGCTCTTTGGATTTAAAAGGTTGTGTTAAACCGTAGTTGTTCCTCTCCACTGTCGCCTCCTGCTATTAGTGCAAACCAGGGGGTTTACATTTTTATTTTTATTTTACACATTTTTAAAGTTCAATCTTCTGAATTGAAATGGTTATGTTGGTTGTTTGGAATAAGAACTGGCTTTAAATTGGTCCCATTTTTTCCTTAGTGTCATGAACTGGTGTTATATATTAAATATTTGACATTTCCTACTAAAATAAAACCAGCTTAAAGTGTAGATGGATATCAGGACTGAAGCAGTGATTAAGCCCATGGATCACAATTCACATCTGCTTTAATGTTTCTATGGAACACTAAAAGTGAATATTGATAATGTTCTTTATTTATTTGTTCTAAAAAAGTTGTATAAAGTATGCTAGTTTGAAAGAAAATAAAAAAAGATTGTGGGAAATTGAAATGTTTTTCATCTAATTGAAATCACAGCATTTTTAATAGAGGAATTCCCTCCATAAAATGACGCACAGAGATCTTAATAAGACCCCAATGAAAACCTGTGACTCCACCTACCTCTATCCTCTATGTTCTCCGCTATCTTCATCTCCTGGTCCATTTTGAAAGCCTCTCCCTGAGTCTCTGTGTTGTTCTGCTGCTGATGTGGGGACTCCAGCTGCTCGCATTGGCCGTGCGCCACCGTGGGATCCGAACCTGGATCCGGGTCCGGGGCGGCGGTGGAGTCTGGCAGGGATGGGTCCGTCATCTTCTGGGCTGAGCTTCCACTAAGGCGCAAAGAGAATGTCGCACCTGGGCGAGAGGAGCAACCTTAGCAGACAGGGAGGGAGGAGATCCCTGCTGGAGTTAAGAGTTTGGAGAAAATTACGCACGGTGAGTCAGACAGCACCGGAAATTGGGATGTGTTGACTTCAAAATAAAATCCAGTTGGTATTTTATAATTTTTTTAATTAAATAAAAGTACTTTCACTTTTGTTTTAAATTTAAATCCTTACCACTTTATAGGGCAAGTTACCGTTTTTGATCACTTGCATACCCCCCTCCCTCAGTGAGGTCTAGAAGCACACGATCTAAATCAAGGGGCGGAGCTAGATGGGGGGCCAGGACCCAATCATTGGCCACCCCTACCATTTTTTCCCACTAATACAGATGGCGGCAGCAGTAATACCCTCAAGTAGCCTGATGAACCAGACTAAATGTGTAATTTAGTCTTCCCAGATGAATGTGACATTGGAAGATTGTTGATGAGAACAATCCGTTGTTTTTCAAACTATGTCTGTGCCTATTGGCCAACGCACGCAATAAGCGCTACAGAAAGCTGGTGGTGTGTAAACAAACAGTCTCTCGGTAAAACGGCGAATACGTCCTTCTCAAAAACGGATGAACGTACAGCCTCTTCCTGCTCACGTTTCAACGAAAACCCCCAAGTCTAATCCTTCCCAAATTGATTCTAAAATCCCCATCAGAGCCAGCGGTCCTTTACACAAGACTATGCCGAGAGAGAGGGCCGCTGCAGACGGGCTGCCGTTAGCCTCGGAGCTCTGTTGGTTGCCACGGTCCTCTCAGCTTCGGAATTTTTTTTTTTTGTATTACGCATTAAATGGGTAAATGGACCATATAGTGACGCTTTAAAGTATAATATTCTCACCTCAAATTATCTTAAAACATACTTTTATTGAACAACATCAACAGAGAACTTTTTTTAACTTTCAAAGGAGCGCTCCATTGAAAGCTGCTGCGGCTGCAGTGCATGCTACTGTTGTGCTTTCTCCAGCGTCGCGCAGCTTTTTCATCACGCCCTCAAAACCCTGCCCGCTTTGCATCCACAAATTCAAAACAGATCTTTGCGTTGTGATTGGTCCGCCAGTTCTAGGGCCTGGGGCATTGATCGAGGCTAGACCACTCGCAGGCAAACATGATTTTGGCCCCTGGCGGGTGGGGCTAGTTTACTAGGCTAACTCTCAAGTGGAATTTTCTAAACATTTAAATTTTTTGTGATTAATTATACACATTGATATACTAACAGCAAATATGATAAATACAGAATTCCTGCTCTTTTCAGAACTAGATTTAGTGTTATATGGGCTAAAGAGAAAATTATGTGTCTCTGCAAGTCAACTAGGAGTCTTTAGTGAAATCATAGATAACTAACAATTTTAAGAAAAACTTATCAAAGAATCAATTTATGTAGATATTAGTGCTTGTAAATATTAATTTTATGCATTATTATGCATTATTTGATACAAGTAGGTAAGTAATGACGATGGAGAACATTTACACCCCAGAACTCAAAACTGAAAGAGTTTGATCCACTATACCCTTTACCTAGAAACTACAGGTGTTTAAATATATGCGTCTATTTGTTAGCAAAGGCTGTAGGAAAGTATAGTTTGTCTTTATTTAGAAAATATGGATGTTTTGCTCGTTAATTTACCTGTTGGAACAGTGTAGATGGACCCTGAGGTTCTGGTGCCTATCTGTTTTCAGCCCCCTCTCAGTGTACATTAGTTATTTCCTGGCCACCCTTATAAAAATGTTCTGGCTACGCCTCTGTCTATATCCAGCCATTCAGCAAAGATCTTATTTTGGCATTTGACCAATCAGATGAGCCCTTAAATGATATATTACCTACAGTAAATTAAGTTGGTTAAAAAAAAAAGTTAACAAGCCGAGAAAAAAAGTTAAAACGCTAATTAAAAATCTAAAAAGTAAAGTAAAAAAGTTAATAAGCCTAGTTAACAACTATATTCAGGTTTAAAAACTAACAAATGTAACAGCCAGTATGAGCATTAATGCCTCTGTTGTACCAAAAAAAAAATTGAGTTTTTTTTAATGAATTTCCTATAGAAGCACTTTTGTTATCTGTCTTAATATATTCGGCAAGTTGACGTTTCTTGTTTTTACATCGAGATTAATTTTTGCCATCAAAATATCCACATTTTTATAATGTTACAAAGGAAATAAGGTCTTGTCCTGGATTCCGATAACACTATTGGCTTGAAATGTATTTCACTGAGTGCCCTATAAAGGGTTAAACCAAATCCAAAAATAATAACAAAAACAAAATGGTTAATTTTATTGGAAATCGTTGTAAATCATAATAAAGAAATTAGTGGTGTAGTGTGATTATAAATCTTAAATAACTTAATAAATGACTAAAATAATACAAAAATGCATTATTAGGGTATAATAATAAGAAAATATTTTTAATAACAAAATCATTATGATATAATAAATACACTGTATTAACAGCAATAATGATAGAAGAAGTAAAACAATACGTATTTCAAGAGATAAGATATTTTATGGAATAAAACTATTTTCCAGTAAGGTTTATCAGAGTGCCTTTTGAAAATAACAACCTTAAAGCAGGTCATAAACATAATTTTCATCAAACTCCAAACCTTTATGTTAAAAGAAAAGCTTGCTTAACGGTTATTATGTAATATTTGAATTTCTGATATTTATAGAATGAATGAAATCTTGAACATTAGTCATATATATGCTGTTTTTTCACATAGTGAACAGATTGACTGAAATAAGTAACCTGTGTATTCCAACATTTATCTTTCAAAATAAAAAATGAATTGAGACAATTTTCAGCCTGATAATGTGTTACACCTGCTATTCAACAACAACAAATTCATGAAACTATAATTCTATAACTTCTATGAATCTGTTGTGGCATCTGCGCATCTTTTATGTTGGAGCAATAATTTATCTGTAGCTGAGAGAAAGCTGCAGGATAAGCTGATCAGGAAGGCCTGCTCTGTGATTGGATTCCCTTTGGACTCAGTGCAGCCGGTGGGATGTTGCAGAACTGGAGAGCTCCTTCAGTGACAGACTGCTGCACCTTAAATGCACCAGGGAGCATTATCACAGATCCTTCCTCCCAGCAGCTGTAAGAATCTATAACCACCACTGTTCCCAACAACTTCAATAAGTTGTTACATTCATGCTGATCTTGCCGTTTCTACCTTAGTCACTTAAATAACATTCTGCTGTCATTTTACACATCTCTGATGTTGCTGATATTTTCAAATATCCATCAATGTAAAATGTCCATAGCTGCATATTGGTTATTTATTAACCAGGTGGACAGTTTTATATTGTTAAAACACTTTACAGTTCAGGATTTTATTGTTTATCTTTTACATCTTCACTATTATGTTATTTGTATACACTTTTCTAAAGTCCACATTTATGTGACCATTTTTCCTATAATCTTTTTGCTGCTGTAAACACCAGAATTTCTCCATTTTGGGTCAATAAAGGGGTTTTCTATTCTACTGTAGTCTATTCTATTCATTGCTTAAAAAACAATGAATGAGTTGATGAAACTATATTTAAAAAGAAGGCTCCAAAGTAAAAACAAAAAAAATTGGTGGACTTTTATTTTGAAGGAGCCAAAAGGAAGTAGAAGTCTTCCATGCTGAGCAACCTGACAGGAGATGTGGAGCGCAGTGTAGACAAGTGGCAGAAAAAGAAATAATCGCGACAGGGTGGCAGTTTAGTGAAGCGGTCTCGCCTGCTCTCTAATTAGCAGACATGGCCATATCTCCACCAGCTGCTGCTCTTCCGCGAGGAGAACATCTGTCCCGTGAGGTCTGAGCGCGCGCGTCTTTATTGATGGAGCCGTTGCACAGATGTCAGGCGCGCTGCAAAAACATAAAAGAGGTTTTTCTTCTTCTTGGTAGCGTAACAAAATTATTTTTTGTGGTGGGAAACTTTCCATTGTGTTCTGAAAATAGATTTCTATAAACATTTCTTTGGACACAGAATCACATGACATGTATTTAGAATAATTGATTTACTGCCCATATTAGGTCATATGGGTTAAATGTTTTTAGAAAGTCATTTCTCTGTAGCTATAATTAACGCTATGCTGAAATATTAACTTTTATTCTGCTTCTAATTCAGATAAAATACGTACTGGACTTTTATTTGAATAAAATCTAAACCTGTATCACTGCTTGAAATATAAAGTTGTATTTTAGACCAATATTTATCCCTAATAAAGTGAATTTTCATTATGGTAGGAAGAAATACGAATATTAAAAATAAAAACGGTGTATTCTTTCAAGTCTTTCTTGTTTTTTTGCAGGTGAAAGCCATTTAAAAGTCCAGTTTGTCTGTTTGTGCTGCTTATATCTCTTTGTATATAGCTCCATCTAGCGGAGAAGCTAAGTATTTCAGATGATGTGACCACATTTCTAGAAAAGCCAACTAACTTGAAATTGTGCTTTGTTTGCAGCTCATAGACATGCTTTTTAAGGTCCACGTTAAAAAAGGCTACCAATCAATATAAAAGTTCTGTTCAGTCTTTTTCTATGTTAATAATCCTCCAGAAAACTGTCCACAGTGTTTTTCCACTACTCATCCTAAACACATACTGGTAAAAGTGCTGGAAGCTAAAAATAATCCATTCATCAGTGCAACATTTCATTTTAATGTGACCTTTTGGTCCTTCATCAGAGCTTTTTTACACAGTTTTTAAAAATGCATAATAAACAGGAATTGATCGAGCTATTTTTTTAAGATGCCACTAAGGATAATTTCCATTAATTTTGAGTAAATTTTTTGCAACACTAGTTCCCATGAGCATGCAATTTTAAATGTGTAAAGGGAAATCCAAAGTAGTTTGTAATGCTTCAAAAAAGGCTTAGTCAGAATTCAGTAGCAATATGTGTCTGAATTAAAGTAAAAATCACTGGACCTAAAGTTTTAAATGAAGAGACAACCTCAATAAAAATGTAATAAGGTATGACTTGAAGAGTCAGGTGGGCTTCAATACTACGCTGTATAACTGGAAAGTTAATTAGATTCTATATTAAATTAAAAAATTCAAACTCAGGAAGGGAGGAGTGAATAAGGGGGGAGAAGAGGGAAGAAAGAAAAAAGTGGAGATTTCAATTTCTTCTATTTTAATTTCTTCTGGAGATTGTTATCAAATCAGACACATTTTCTGGTTCATGGTTGGTGTTTTTTGTGCTACTTAATTTTTTCTATTTATTTTATTAAGTTATTATTATTTAGGTTTAGTGTTTATTACTAAGGCATTGTACTCGTATCACAATTGGCCTTTCTCTTTACTATACACATTTACAAGTAAATGTACAATTTATGTAAAGTCTCAAAAAGGTAATTCATCAAACCCTACAATGCGACACTATCACGGCAACAACTTGTGCAATATCTAATGTGCAAGTCCTATTTTGTACCCTGTGCAATAACCCAATTTTTATATCTGATGCTCAGTGCAATAACTAAATACCCATTGAATATCCTGTGCATAACCCTGTATAATAATCCTGCTAAATTAAATAAGAGACTTCAGCAAAGATACTGCGCATAACCCTCAAGCTCCCAGGCCTCTGGAAGAGGACCCGAGCTTGGAGGAAAAAAGGTAGACTGACCGCAGAGGGTGAGGAAGATATATATATATATATATATATATATATATATATATATGGACACACTTTATATACTGTATATACCCCATGCACCTTTTCCTCCCTTTGGCACCTTCTTTTTGACTATTGAGTTGATGTAACGAGTACATTTCTCAACTGTGAGGTCAATAAAGTCAATCAATCAATCAATATATAAAGTTCGGAGAAAAAAATCAAACTCACATAGAATATTATCATTGTACGTAACATTTAAAAGATTTAAAAGTTATGCTTTGGCCATATGATATGCCTGATGTGACACTGAGTCAGCAGACAGTCAACCTCTACATTTCTCATTTTACATATTGGTGAAAAATTATTATTATTATAATACAAAAGAGAGCATAGTGTTTCCCTTTGTAAAAATTTTCATTTTTTTGTGAAATCTGAAATCATAAATACCTATTAGTTTATTTCATCAGCTTTTAAAGTAATATTCAGTATGATTTATGCCCAGATTATGCTGCAATATTCAGAGAAATGTATATATATTTGCCTGCTTTAATTTTGTTTGCTTCTTGTAAGTTGCTCCTCCGACCACAGGGGGCGCTGCTGTATTTTCCTCCCCCCGGCTTCACACTCCGCTTCTCGTTTCGTCATTCCGGTGCTCCGGTCGCCTCGCTCCCCTCCCGGTGCTAAAGCCGTCGGGCTTGGCCGTGGGAGCGTAATGGCGGTGCACCGGGGACCCTCTACGAAATGGCTGTTTACCCGGGAGCAGCTGGAAAACACACCGTCTCGTCGCTGCGGGATAGAGGCGGACAGAGAGCTCTCCTACAGGCAGCAGGCCGCCAATTTAATCCAGGACATCGGCCAGAGGCTCAACGTGTATCCTTTGTCAGGGCAGCGGCTAACCGGTTAGAGGCGGTTGCCGTGAGCTCAGACCGAGTCTTATTTATTTTTTCGCCAAACTTAACTCTCCCTCAAACATAAAAAAACATTTACAACTAAAACGTAGTAGTTATTGCCGGTTAGCTTGATGCTTTTGCGCTACGGAAGCTGCAAGGGCCTGTAGTTAGCTTAGCTATTGTTTAGCCTGGTTCAATTTCTATTGTTAGCGCCGACACGGTTTGTATTTGTCATGAACACCCAACATTTCACCAGAAACAGACATATAATCCACCAGAAGATCAAAGCTGAGATTAATTTTCACATTGATATCATTTTCTATAGCTCAGTCGTTTGTTAGAGCCCCAAATTTCTGGCTAATCGCTGCTAGCTTTGCTTTCTTACACGTTACTCGCATTTCTTCCTTGACTCTTTCAACAGATCTCAACTAATAATTAACACCGCTATAGTTTATATGCATAGGTTTTATATGATCAACTCCTTCACCAAATTCAATAGAAATGTAAGTATACACGCAGTTATCCCTTTAAATCGGCCTCCCACGGTGTTAAACTAACAGTTTCCTGCCTCGTTTTATAGATAATTTCCCAGACCACCTTATTCCTGGCAGCTAAAGTGGAGGAGCAGCCCAGGAAGCTGGAGCACGTCATTAAAATAGCCCATGCCTTCATTAACCCACAAGATCCTGTCCCTGACACTAAAAGCAGTGTAAGTGATCTCAAAGTGAAGGATTGATTGGGGTTCTGGTTAGATCTCCCACCTTATTTTATGTATATTTTGGGTTGCTTTTTAAATAAATGAAGGTTAGACTCAGAACTGGTAATTGGAATCAATCAAATTGTTAAATCTATATAATGAACATGTTATTAATAGACTGGTTCATAATTACAAAATCTCACTTTTTAAATTTTTTTAAATCAAAAATGTAATTTAAAGAGTTTGTCTGGAGTGATCTCTTCTCAGGAAAAGCAGTGTAGAGTGAAAGTTTTCGGTTGTAAACACTGTGAGGAGTGTTGGCCTAGTTGTTAGAACAGTGCACTTGTGCTCTGAGAAGGTTGGAAGTACCTGGTTCTATCCCCGCAGACTGCCACTCTGGGTTAACAGGGCACCGTACAGGGGCAACCCGCTGCTCTGTAGGGTTGGCAATTGATAAGATTTTCACGATTCTGATACCCTTATCGATTCTGTGAAACAATGAACTTGGTAAGTGCATGGTGACATTCGTCTACCTTCGCCTGGGACATTCTATTTCTGTCTGCCTCGGCGAAAACAGAAGGCAGTGAACGGGAGCTGCCACTCAAGTCAGGCTACCCATCTCGTCACAGTCATCTAAATCTAATGGAGAAGGCATCCGTTTAATGAAAAAGCATTACTGTACAATTTCGGGAAATAAACTCATCTCCCCCTGATTTAAATAAACGAGCGTCACCTTCGTAGCATGTTTAATAACCCCAAAGAGAGGTAGGAAACTGGTTTATTTCCAGAAATGGCATATGATTTACTAGGAACCACATTAAGCACAGCCAGTGGTATAAAACTAGCTACTTACCACCAGAGTTGCCTTCCATGCTGGTCGTAACTTTAGCTATTGTCTGGAAGCATCAAAAACACAGTATTCGTTAAAATGTATGCCATGTTGTGTGCGCAGGTATTTCTGCATGTTAGATGTATTTCCTCCCACGGATGTAGCTGCCGCTTTGCAATGATTGCAAATCTTTCTCTTCCTTAAAATGAAGCCAAACTTTTAGTTTCGCTTTTCTAGACTCATGCTTGGTCACGTCGTACTTGCTTACTGATTGCCGTGTGCGTAACTTGCGTAGAAAACGTGAATTAAGTCGCGCTGCCCAGCGCTAGGCTCTGGTGCTGCCTGGAATCAATAAGAAAATCGTTAAGCGAGCTGACAAACGGTGCCATGGGATTGGAACACATGGTACCGGTTCTGAACAGGAAGGAACCGGGTTTTTCCGATTCCCATCCCGAGTTAAATGCAGAGGTAAATTTCTCTAAAGTGAGATCAATATAGTTATATTATTATAATTTCACAGAGCCTTCTTTTAACACCAGATTGAAAATGACTGAGTTAGGACTGCAAATGAATAAATATGTAGTATGCAGTGATTTAATGCTGTTGTGGGAAATGCAGGAATACGTTATTTTATTGTGGTGCATGTTTTATTTTCTAACATTAACATGCTTAGGGAATACAGGCGGAAATTAGCACATGTGCTATGACCTGGTAGAATCCAAATGTTCCTTTCTGGGGTGAACATATATTGCACGCTGTTTATTTATTTAAACAGAGACAAACGATGACAAAAATGCTACAGTACATTACATTGCAGTCATCACCTGGGTAACCAGCATTGAGACTCAAAGTTATTAGTCAAACTATTATATTTTGCTCTTATTTTTGGAAACAGATTCTTTTCATTTTAATGAGTTATGGTGCTAAAACATAGTATTAGGGCCAGGCTAGAGATTTCTTTTTCTTCTGTTTCGAGAATAAAGTCGCAACGAGAATAGTCATAAAATTACGAGAAAAAAGTCGTAATATTAAGAGAATAAAGCCCTAAAATTATGAGAAACAAGTTGTATTCTATGACAACTCCTCCAAGAAGCACTTTCTTCCCTAAAATTAGGAATGTGGAGCATTATGTGAAGTTATACTTTGGCATCCGTTTGAAAAATAAAATCTTTTAGCACACCAGCATCAAATTGGGCAGTAGGTCAAAGTGGACTCTGGTTGCTGTTTGGTGGCGCTCGTCGGCCATCATCTGCTGGTCGGAGCGTGAAGGTTTCTTTCTGAAACGGGTTGTGGTATGATGATTTAATTCTCTTAATGTTACGACTTTATTCTTGTAATGTTACGACTTTATTCTCCTAATGTTATGACTTTATTCTCGCAATGTTACGACTTTATTCTCCTAATGTTACGACTTTATTCTCCTAATGTTATGACTTTATTCTCGCAATGTTACGACTTTATTCTCCTAATGTTACGACTTTATTCTCCTAATGTTATGACTTTATTCTCGCAATGTTACGACTTTATTCTCCTAATGTTACGACTTTATTCTCCTAATGTTACGACTTTATTCTCCTAATGTTATGACTTTATTCTCGCAATGTTACGACTTTATTCTCCTAATGTTACGACTTTGTTCTCCTAATGTTACGACTTTATTCTCCTAATGTTACGACTTTATTCTCGTAATGTTATGACTTTATTCTCCTAATGTTACGACTTTATTCTTGCAATGTTACGACTTTATTCTCCTAATGTTATGACTTTATTCTCGCAATGTTAGGACTTTATTCTCCTAATGTTACGACTTTATTCTCGTAATGTTATGACTTTATTCTCCTAATGTTATGACTTTATTCTCGCAATGTTACGACTTTATTCTCCTAATGTTATGACTTTATTCTCGCAAAGTTACGACTTTATTCTCCTAATGTCACGACTTTATTCTCGTAATGTTATGACTTTATTCTCCTAATGTTATGACTTTATTCTCGCAATGTTACGACTTTATTCTCCTAATGTTATGACTTTATTCTCGCAAAGTTACGACTTTATTCTCCTAATGTCACGACTTTATTCTCCTAATGTTATGACTTTATTCTCCTAATGTTACGACTTTATTCTCCTAATGTTATGACTTTATTCTCGCATTGTTACGACTTTGTTCTCCTAATGTTACAACTTTATTCTCCTAATGTTACGACTTTATTCTCGTAATGTTATGACTTTATTCTCCTAATTTTACGACTTTATTCTTGCAATGTTACGACTTTATTCTCCTAATGTTATGACTTTATTCTCGCAATGTTAGGACTTTATTCTCCTAATGTTACGACTTTATTCTCGTAATGTTATGACTTTATTCTCCTAATGTTATGACTTTATTCTCGCAATGTTACGACTTTATTCTCCTAATGTTATGACTTTATTCTCGCAAAGTTACGACTTTATTCTCCTAATGTCACGACTTTATTCTCCTAATGTTATGACTTTATTCTCCTAATGTTACGACTTTATTCTCCTAATGTTATGACTTTATTCTCGCATTGTTACGACTTTATTCTCGCAATGTTACGACTTTATTCTCCTAATGTTACGACTTTATTCTCCTAATGTTACGACTTTATTCTCCTAATGTTATGACTTTATTCTCGCAATGTTACGACTTTATTCTCCTAATGTTACGACTTTGTTCTCCTAATGTTACGACTTTATTCTCCTAATGTTACGACTTTATTCTCGTAATGTTATGACTTTATTCTCCTAATGTTACGACTTTATTCTTGCAATGTTACGACTTTATTCTCCTAATGTTATGACTTTATTCTCGCAATGTTAGGACTTTATTCTCCTAATGTTACGACTTTATTCTCGTAATGTTATGACTTTATTCTCCTAATGTTATGACTTTATTCTCGCAATGTTACGACTTTATTCTCCTAATGTTATGACTTTATTCTCGCAAAGTTACGACTTTATTCTCCTAATGTCACGACTTTATTCTCGTAATGTTATGACTTTATTCTCCTAATGTTATGACTTTATTCTCGCAATGTTACGACTTTATTCTCCTAATGTTATGACTTTATTCTCGCAAAGTTACGACTTTATTCTCCTAATGTCACGACTTTATTCTCCTAATGTTATGACTTTATTCTCCTAATGTTACGACTTTATTCTCCTAATGTTATGACTTTATTCTCGCATTGTTACGACTTTGTTCTCCTAATGTTACGACTTTATTCTCCTAATGTTACGACTTTATTCTCGTAATGTTATGACTTTATTCTCCTAATGTTACGACTTTATTCTTGCAATGTTACGACTTTATTCTCCTAATGTTATGACTTTATTCTCGCAATGTTAGGACTTTATTCTCCTAATGTTACGACTTTATTCTCGTAATGTTATGACTTTATTCTCCTAATGTTATGACTTTATTCTCGCAATGTTACGACTTTATTCTCCTAATGTTATGACTTTATTCTCGCAAAGTTACGACTTTATTCTCCTAATGTCACGACTTTATTCTCCTAATGTTATGACTTTATTCTCCTAATGTTACGACTTTATTCTCCTAATGTTATGACTTTATTCTCGCATTGTTACGACTTTATTCTCGCAATGTTACGACTTTATTCTCCTAATGTTATGACTTTATTCCTGAAACGGAAGTAAAAAATCCCTAGCCTGGCCCTAATACTCTGTCGTAAGGGTGCACATTAATGCCCAGAATTAAGAAAGAAAAAAGGCCAAAAAGTGGAAAATGTTAACCGTATTTAGGCAAAAACAGCTACTCATGTATGCTGTTCCAGATTGTTTTTAAATTTTAATAAACCATCAATGTTGGCTTTCTTCAAACAACGCATTCATCTACTTTGTTTTTAGAAATATCTAACCAGGGCTGGCTGGCTTCTTTGGTAGAAAATCTGATTACCGTTCAGCTTTGGTTGCATGCTGCAAGGAGCGGATGCAAATGTGAGGAAAATCCTGAACTCCAGGTTAAACTGTCTCACTGTAATTAATGGTCATTTAACTAAAGAGAGCTACATGGGGGAAATGATCACAAAGTGATGCAAAAACACCATTTACGTGCATCTGGGAAAAAAAAAAAAAAAAAAAAAGCCTCAAATTTAGCTTATTAAATTGTGAACATCCATGTAGCAGGAGATGTAACCGTTGCTTGGGTGTATCTCAGTACCCGCAGATCAGGTTTGCTTTTATATGTAGTTTGGTACCAAATGTGTAAGAAATCCTAATCTTAATGCTTTAAATTAAGTTGTAAAGACTGAATGTCTAATATCAAGAATCTTTTTTTCAATGAGTGATCATGGTGAACCAGATTCCTCATTTCTAAGGTTGTATTACTTTGCACACTGACTCTGTTTTGCAGTAGGTTAGTAATACGGCAGATTCCAGGAAATTGCTGAGAGGTACTTTACCTTTGTTTGTTTATTTTTTTTAGGCGTTCCAACTGCTGGCACAAGAGCTTGTAGCCCTAGAAACAATAGTGCTGCAAACGCTGGGTAAGAAATCTTCCGCTTTGCTTTATGGCTGCAGCTAATGATTATTTTCCAAATCGATTAACCTGTCGATTATTTAGCAAAGGGTTCCTTGTAGAGGACTTTTTGTGAAATTAAACCAGGTGAAAGTAAAACCTTTCAACTTGAGGCATTCTGGATAGAGCATATTGACAAATGAACAAGATGTATTATAGATTATATAGATTTTTTTATTTTTGGGTATACTTGCTGCTTTAGGTGTGTCACTGTCAGCTGAAGGCATGTTTTAGAGTCTCTATACTTCAGTTAACAATCAATTACTAAATTAGTCGATGATTATTTTAATAAGTCATTAATCACAATTAATCCGATTAATTGTTTCAGGGTTATTTTGTGAAAATAAGCAATAAGGGACTGAATCATACTGTTATAATGTCAGGATTAGCTATTGCTATTGGAAATCAAGAAATTTCCTTATATTAATTTTAATTCTTATACATTTCAAATTACAGATGTTGAGATAAGAATAAAGCATTGTATAGTGAAACTTTACAATTAAAAATTATTTACACGAGGAAGTCAAATCTTGTTGCTATGGAAACAAGCCTATAGATTTCTGTCTCAGAATTACAACATAATGAAAGTATTGATTTTAATCGAAAATTAAATATAGCCTTGAAAAAAATTATCGAAATAATACAAACTTATTATGATATATACTTATTATTAACTGACAATTGACGATTGTTTCAATAAGCAATTAATCATGGTTAATCTGATTGTTTCTGCTCTACTTTGTTTGATTTCCAGTAAAATGTAGTTTTTTAATGCTGAGTTATTGTTTGATTTTTCACATGGGCTGTTTGTTCTTCTTCTTCCGTGTGCTGCAGGTTTTGAAATTACAGTTGATCATCCTCACACAGATGTTGTGAGGTGTTCCCAGCTAGTGCGAGGTATTGCTTTTTTTCCCCTTGCAAACATTTGCAGTAAATCTGTTTTTAAATTATTTAACCAAGATATTTACTTTTTTTGGCTCAATTATATCTTGTATGTTTTAAACGAGGACTAAAATGTTTTTTTCTTTTTCTTTTACAGCAAGCAAGGATTTGGCACAGACTTCCTATTTCATGGCTACCAACAGGTTATTATCCTGTTCCCATTCTTGCACTGTAATGGCACACTATAGCTTCCTGTCCTGCAGGGTCCCCCTCCCTGTGCCCAATGCCCTGCATGCAGCCTGGGCCCCGGGAACGCCCGGATGACGGGAAGTACCGGCCAGGCTGCTGTGTGCGGTGTATTGTACAAGGGCTCAGTGTTGGCACATAGGGGTTCAATGCACAATGCGGAGTGTAGTGGTGCTGTTTACCTCTCAGGGTTGTTTGGTACGGAGTGCACATGTCTAAAAAAAACAAACAAAACACAAACGGTAGCCTGAACATAGCTTGCCACTAAAGATTCTTTAACTTATAAAGTTTCTTGGTAAGTACAGTTCAGTTCTTTTCATCTTTTTTTTTCATCAGTTTTACATTTTATTTCACAGCAAAAAATAAAAAAATAATTGCACGCTAAAAAATATTTGTTGTAATTAAAGTTGAGGAAATACTAAAATAATTTGATTCAAACCTAAGTTAACTGAACGTTTTGCAATTAAAAAAAACTGTTTTTAAATGAACAAATAAATAGTTTTAATGTTGATTATAAATATGAGCATCTTATCCTGCTTTATCAAAATGCAAATTAAGAAGAAACTGGCGTCGGAGACAAAAAGCCAGATTGAAGCCAATCAAGCTGTTAATCAGCTGATAGCATAGCTTCCATGTATGCTAACCTCCCTCGTCTTGCACCTGAATGTTGATGATGTGGTTTAGGGCAGGATAACATGCGCTGGGGGTCAGAGGGATGCAGATCTACAAAATGATCTTTTGGTATTCTATGTTTTGAAGCTGCAAAGTCCAAATAAAAAAAAAAAAGTTTTTTTGGTGTGGATGAAGACATAGCATGTTAGCATCAGTTAGAGAATCTTCCTCCATCTTTCACTGGCTGGAGTTTTGATCTATATTCTATTGCCTCCCCTGCTTCTAGTTCTTCCCTTTGCATTTTAAACCTCTACCCAGAGGTTAGGACTTGCCAACTCTGCATATTTGCAATTTTTATTGGTATGAGGTGATTTATAGATTAAACTATTTGGAGATGTACTTCAAATATTTTTTCTCTAAATGCCTTGCTTATAGAGGCATCATGGTGGCTAGTTTAGTACTGCCATCTTGTGGCTATTTTTGGTAGCTTTAAGGCTCTTTGATTTAGATGACAACTTAATAAACTGTTATATGCATTTAGTTAAGTCAGTTAAATGTCCTTAGATGAACCCAGGGATAAAAAGGCTGATATTTTCCTGTTTTTAAACAATTTCCTAGCAGAGCTCAGACTGCTATGTAATGTTGGATGAATAATCTGAATTTAATGAGGAATGAGATCCAAATGGCAAAAAGCTCTGATATCATGTGTACTGGGAGATATCTGTTGAAGGGAGGCAGAGCAGATCTTTAAACTGCAACGCTTTTCATTGAAAGTGTTTAAAACAACAGGAAGAACCTTTATCGCCTCAACCATCTCTTTAAACCACTACAGTAAAATTAGTTTTTAAGATAATTACTTCGTTAAAATACTAGCTTCAATTTCTGTATATATTATTGATAGCATTATGGAAATCAGCGTAGATGAAAAGTGTCTGTTTCTACCTTAGTTTTAACTGGCTTTAATGCAAAGATAATTTATCAAAATGCTTTATCAAAGTATCCCCCCTGGTTAAGATGTTGATTTGGTGCTTTTTTTTAGTGCATTGAAATCCGAATCCTAATGTCAAATTTTCAGGCTAGAAATTTTTCTTTTCCCAAATTAGAAAAAAGGATTGCTTTTCTAAACATTCCCTGCCATTAACGATTGTACGTGAAGTCTCTTTCATCTCTACCAGGGGTGCCCCTGAATGTCTTGTTAACATTGGCTCTGCCAGATGTTTCTATTTGTTTTATTGCCATCTATACAAACATTGCTTTAATTATCAAACTGAATCTTTGTTTTTTAAACTAAAATAGGTAAAAATGGTTTAATATAAACACTGTTTACACACCATATCAGGAAATAAATGGCAAATATAGATAAAAGCTGTAATGGGCTCTAAGCAAAACCCCAGTACGACTTGAATTTAAGTCTATTGTTTCCTGTGTTTTTTTAACTGGATGAAGTGATTAATCCAGGCATGCCTGACCTCAGCAACAATTGCCAGACACACCTGGATTAATCAGTTCCTCCAGCAATGAATGACAGGAAATAAAAGAGCTGCCTTAAATTCAGGCAGTAGTGGCCCATTCCTAATTTAAAATCGACGTCTACCTCATTGCAGAGAGTATAAACGGTCATAATTCTGCCATTGTTCAGTTACAGAACGATCCTCTTTGGTAACGATTGCTTCGGCTTTTTGAATAGATGTTCGCTCACAGAAAAAAATGAAACGTCTCAATTTGTTGTCTCATTAAGATGCTATCCAGTACGTGTGTAGATCAATGCGGGCCATCTAGGAAATAATTTGAGTTCTTTATAGGTTTAGAATGGGAACCCAGCTTTACGTAGTTGGAGGGGAAACATTGAGATACGATTACCGATCGAAGGCGGCCCAATGCTGTAGGTCAGATCCTTTGTCACTCCGCCCCACTATGATCGAGCTGAGAGAAATTTCACACGCGTTAAGAATTCATGAGGTGAAATTGTCCCTGATAGATCAAACAGCAGTCAGGAAAAACATTCCCTCTCATCCCTTCGTGTCCAGCAGGCAGGAGGACTCGGTGCTCAGGAATCTTAAACATCAGAAGGAGGAAGTTTCCTCAGCAGATGTGCTGCTTTAGAAAAACATCCCCTGCTTCTGGATGTAAATCAAATCAAATGGTTCATACTATCTGCAATGATCCGGTTCAATGATTTAATCCTAAATATTTCATACCAAGTCCTTAAATTGTTGAAATATATTTTCTTGTTCCAGTTCTAGTAGGTAAGCTGTAATGCTGTTAGTTTAGGCAGTGTTTGTGAAGTGAGAGCGATCTGCTGAGCCGACTGATGTACCTGTGCCGTGTGTCTCCCTGCAGTTTGCACCTCACCACCTTCTGCCTGCAGTACAGGCCAACGGTTGTAGCTTGCGTCTGCATCCACCTGGCCTGTAAGTGGTCCAACTGGGAGATCCCGGTGTCCACAGATGGGAAGCACTGGTGGGAGTACGTGGACCGCACCGTTACGCTACAGCTGCTAGACGGTAAGGTTGGGAGCCCGATCTGGTGTTTAATGGACGTTTCATTTGTTTCATGCAGGGAGAGGAAGCAGGTGTAGAAAAAGCGGGGGTTTCTTCGCAGTATGCAGAGGTCTGGATGTATTTGGAGTATTTTCCATCATCTTTCAAGAAACCAGTCCATCTGTCTACCTAACCCTTTTTTCCTGGTTTAAATCCTCCATCCTACCCATCACTTTATCCATCTGTTTTCTATCCTCCCAGTTTCTTCCATATTTAACCCCAGACCTCTGCAAAAAATGCCCTCTAGAAATTCATACTTAGAAATGTAGAAAGGACGTGAAACCATGTCCATTAAATGTTTGCTTGTTTAATATTTGATTATAATTCAGTATATGTTCCTTTCAGAACTTACCCATGAGTTCCTTCAGATTCTGGAGAGGACGCCCAGCAAACTGAAGAGGATACGAAACTGGAGGGTATGTCCGAAACGAGCCGACCGCATGAGTATTTCTCCTGCAGAGTTGTTGGTTTAAAAAATGCTGAACTGTCTGTCTGTAGGCCATTCAAGCAGCAAAGAAACCAAAGACAGAAGGTTCGACTGTGGAGAGTGCCTTCCAGGGGACATCTTTAGACGGCCTTCCTGGTGTTACCAACTCCTTCTTCCCCTCCGCCTCTACGTCAAACTCTTCTGAAATGTCCGCCCTGAGCTCCATGACGACCTCTTACCCCATCTACCAGCAGCTCAGCGACCAGTTCTCCCAGCCTGCCCACTCAGACTTCACGCTGGTCAAACACAAAGCTACAGCCGGGTCCAGCAGCGAGCACGAGCAGCCGGGCGTGAACGTCGCGTCTTTCTCCCGGCCGCCAAAAGTCTTGACTCTAGAGAAGTACAGGGTGAAACAGGCGGGGGAGCTGGCCCTGCAGAGCGGCATGAAAGAGGAGCCCGGCGCCGAGATCTACGCGCCTCCAGCTGTCTCCTCCCACCACCACAAGAGACGCTCGCAGCAACAAACCGGCCAGTCGGGCGACGGCAGGAGGGAGAAGTCGAGCTCAAAGAAGCCGAGGCTCGCCTCCTGCTACGCCGAGAACGGCTCCGCCGCAGGCGAGGAATTTAAAATGAGGATCAAAGTTTCATCCGACCCGGGCGGGACTCTGTCCGGGAAGGACAAGCACAAAGAGCACGGCGGGCACCGCCACTCTAAACACAGCCACTCGTATTCTCTGAGCGGGAGCGCCGACGGTGCGTCGTTCTCCGTCCGAGCCCCCGGCAGCCACTTGAACGACGGGAGCTCCTCCGGCTCGTCCCGTAAGAGACAGCACGCAGACGGCGGCGGCCATAACCACCACCACCACTCCAAGAGCAGCAGGTCCTCCAAAGGACTGGGCTCGGCTCACTACCCATCGGACGGCGGCCAGAGAGCCATGGAGCTCCACAGCCACGATGGGACAAACGGTATGCTGCTGTCCAACGGCCAACACACTGACTACAAAAACACTTTCGACATGCTGGACTCTTTACTAAGTGCCCAAGGAATGAACTTGTAACTGTGAGCTCCTGGTGTTAACTAGGAAAGGTTTTATAGAGTTTAAAAAGCGACTTTATCGGTCTTAAGTTATCTGCATCACACTGATTATTGATGATTCCTATCAAACTACAGAGCTGTGTATTAATTCCTCGCAACACAAAAACACCACGTATGAGTTGCTTTGGGAATGCAGCCGAAAAATAATTCCTTTTAATGTAATTTTAAATGAGCTGATGGTTATTTTAAGTGTGCACGTTTTTAAAGTCACAAAAAGAGAAGGAAGGAAGAAAAAAAAAGAAATTTCGCTGCCTTTGTGACAGTTTACAATTCATTTTTGTCGTTCAGTTTGTTCCACGAGAATCTCAGGTCTTTAAACATTTTTGATAAAAGAGCAAATCTCCCTCTGATCGGGGAGGAGACGGGTCGAGGTTTTTACACCCGACCCAGGAAGGGAAAACACGGTCTGCTTACGTTACAGGGTGCATCGGCGAGGCTCCATTTGCTATTTGAAGGCTGCACCTACTGAGCTACAGGTGACGCTTATGTTACAACTGCTGTGGATGTGCATTGAAACCATAGCAGCTAAAGTTAAAACAAAACAAAAAAAAACTTGTGATTGTTCTAGTCAATCGCTATTCTGTATGATAAATGTTATTAACTATCAGAACATACAGATCTCTAAAGTTGTGTGTACATAGGACTTTAGATGAGAAGTGTTGATTATTGCATCAGTCCAAATGACTCCATTGTATTAAGATCCAAAGCAGACTGTATCGATGAGAAAATCCTTAATTCATGTTTTGGGAGCCCAAATAAAAACGATACGAAACTGAGCTTCATCCGTCCAATTTTCTCTATCAACTGCTGACAACATGATACAAAGGTTGATATTTAAAATAAAGGATAAAATCAATCAAATGGGTGTTACTTAAATATGTACCACAGGATCCTGCAATATTATGGTTTCCAAACTTGATAATTCAAGCTTTTTAGTTTCATTTTTTTTTCTAAATAAAAGAACAAGGTGGAATTTTTCAAGGATTATAAATAATTTCTATAGCTGAAGTTAGAAATCAAATTCTTTACCACAAGAGTTTGATAAAAAAATATGTTCTGCTTTTAAATTGTTCCCTAATTTTTATTTTTTTTTAACCTACTACCTTCCTGTCCAAATTAAATACATGATCTACTATTAAGAACATAAACTAATTCATGACGTAAGCTTTAGGTTTTATTTATTTAAGATAAATAAAAATCTAGCAATTAAGCTCACAGAATGGGTTGTGACCCCTAGTGGGTTACAGAGGTACTGCAGTTAGGGGTCATTAATTCTGATAAGATTTTAATTGCAAATGAATTAATCGTAACGTTTGCAATACTCATCAAATAACAAACAATACTATAACGCTTTAACCTTACACTGGTACCATTAAGACCCGATACTTGTGGAGTTTTTCTTGATTTTTGTTAATTTACCAAGAGGAAAATATTAGAAAAATCATCTGGGTGTAACTTTTTAAATCTTCATCCTTAGCTTTATGTTATTATATTATTGTCTCTCTTTAACCAGCTGTTAAAAACTTAAGAGATGAAGATGAACTCAAAGGTTGAGAAAATAAGCAATAAGGGACAGAATGATACTGTTATGACTTCAGGATTAGCTCGGTTCTCTTCATATGTGGTATTGTGAAATTAAGAAATGTCTTTATCTTAAGATAGTTTAAATTGTTTTGTATATTTTCAAATTAAAGATATGATGTTTAGATAAGAATAAAGCAATGTAGAGTAAAACTTTACAATTAAAATAAGATTATATTTCCTCAAGAGGAAGTGAAACCTTTTATCCAATCCAATCCAATCCACTTTATTTATATAGCACGGTTTAAATAAACACAAGGTTTCCAAAGTGCTGCACAAAAAGATAAAATAACTAAAATAAATAAAAGTAATAAAATAAAATAAATAAATAATTTTATCACGTAGGACTTGTTGCTATAGAAACAAGCCCATAGATTTCAGTGTCTGAAAATTACAATATAATGAAAGTCATCAATTTGAATTGAAATAGAAATATAGCCTTAAAAAACGTATCGAAACAATACAAACTTGAGATCTTGTCTCAAATTGTAAAAATGGAACAGCTTATCAACAACCTTGATACCATCTTACCTAATCCTATAGAAATAAAAAGAGCAAAGCATCGTTAAACCTGAGTTTTGCTCCAGCCGATCCAAACTCCTTTAAATTTCCCATCATCACTCAGGTGTTTAATGGGAAGGAGTCTGAAATCCAGGAGGAACTCCAGAAAACGGATTTCTATGAACATTTGTCCACAAAATTAAGCTCATCCTGCTTTTCTGCTGGTTTATTTTACCACTCAGCCAATTTTATTCGAAAACAAACTGAGTAGTTTTGCCACAGCTCTGCCTTTATGAGCAATTAGTTGCATAAAAAAAATCTGGAGTGTTTTCTCCCATTTAGCAGTTAAACATCTTTTCATCTTGCAAATGCAGTGAGCAGAAACCTCACCTAAAATCTTCAGCTATGTTCTCTACTGAACCCTCAGCTATCCTTTACCAACTCAGCCTTTACGGCTCACTTGTGGGCGGCACATAAATCCAGTTCCTGATAATTAACCAGCGCCATCTGAGCAGACACAGCGCTTTTCACCAAGTATTGCCTTCTAATTTTAGAGTGGAAGACAATGGGGGGAAATTCAGCGGGGGGACGTCAGTGAAAATTCCACCATCTGGACATACTTGCGTGCTGGTGGGAGGGCGGTGATTTATTTTCAGCTACCTCTCAAAACGCAATGAGAGACGCCTACTGCGCAGAGATCCGCAGAGAGCGACGGGGGGAAATGAGAGCTGCTTCTGAGAGCAACAAATCCCTGAATTAAGAGCCATCTGAAGGGAAAGCATCGCCCCAATCTGCTGATTGCAAGGCGAAGTATGCTCGATTGCTTTACACAGATAAAACCAGGTCCATTGCACAGCTATAATCTGAGCCATCCTGTGATTATATCAGCAGCTGAGGCGGCAGATTTTAAGCTAATTGGTAATTAACTTAAAAAAAGGACAATTTTCCCTTTGAAGTAGCATACAGACATATAAGTATCAGTTATTAACAGGTGTGTGTATGCAGCAAAAATGGTTGATACAACCATGAACTTCAGCATATTCTATTTGGATTCAAAGTAGCATGTTTTTGTAAGATGGAGGGAAGCTGATGCATCGTTTTCAGTACGTCTTGTTAATTGGAGCTGTAGAAATTAAATGCACTGAATTAAAAAAATGTATCCCTCATATATGCAAATAAGACATAAATTCCTAAGTTGTGAAAATCTTTAGTAAGAGGAGCAGCTCATGCCTCCCCTTTGCAAAAGATGCAGAAAAAAGTTTAAATCCACTGTTCTAGTATGTTATATTATGTCCACTAGATGGCAGTATTACCTTTGGCCCTTGATTCCTCCTAAAGCAGATAATCAACACATTCAGCATCATTTTTTAAAAGAATTTTTAGTTGTTTCAGGAGAAAAGATGCAGAGTTGAATAACCTTGTGGAGGGAAACTGGGAATGCTGGTTTTATTGGCACATGTCCGAGACACCTTGTGATCCTCAGTCACAATCTTTGGACGTCATCCATCCAATTAACAGAGTTGGATAACTTTAGGACAGCAGCGCGGGGGGGAGGGAGGGGGGGCAGAGCTGGGAAGCGTTAAAGCACCTGGTAATTTGAAATATGGGGTATGATCCGAGGGCTTTTGCAGAACAGCGTGTGGCTCACTTTCACCCGTATGAGTCTTAATGCAAATGACGGGCAGGAAAGTGGCATAATTATAAGCCATTGAAAGTCCATTGTCATTTCTGTCTGAGAGGTCTCTCTTGAAAAATCAGGAGCTGATGGAAACCTCTCTAAGTACCTGAGATAGAGCCGGAGGGGGAAAATGACTAGGCCCAAGCTGCTATTATACCATGCTATTGCAATTATATTCAGTGATTGGCAGGAGCATAAATTAGCCCATGTCTTCTTGGTGCGGTTAGCTTTATTTTTTGCACAGGTATCTGTTTTTTTCACAAGCGTTGGCATTCCCATTGGCCAGCTGTGTCCTGGTGGAAAAACAAGACGTTTATTTCGCAGTTTAACTCTGTAATTATTCCCTTTACTACCACAGTTTCTGCTCCAAGTGCATCCTCTTGTGGCTTCAACGCCAGAGATTCATGTCTGCGGCGGGAGGCTCACAGCACCAGCTGTCCTTACAAAAAAAAAAAAAAGGAAAAAAATTGTTGATGTGAAATGTCTTCCTCCCTGCTCGTCCCCAATCATCAATTATTCACCGACTTCGACATTTGAACTAATTATGGAGCACCAATGGCCTATTTGAGCGGGGTCCTGTCAGATGAAAGCCGGGTCCTTCCTGACAGCGGTGAAGGCGGAGGAGAAGAGGCGACAGCAGCGGCCATTAAAAAGAACTGAGAACACACACTCTGCAGTACCCGTCCTCCTCCACTGCCTCTCACACACACCCACTCATAATAATAACAGGAAAAAAAAAAAGCATGAATTGCTTCCTCACACACACCCACTCTCACGCAGACATGCATAAACATGATGCAGGGCAGCGCTTTACACACGTCAATGTGCTCGCCACCTGTGTGGGCTGTTTGGCCTCCTCATCCAGACCTCTCTGGTTTTAATTAGCCTACTGCTGAAGTGTTTTCCTTTTTATATTCTCTGAAGGGCGATGATAACGGCTACAGTGGAGATGGAGGCTCTCCGCTGGTTTGTTTCATTAGGGAGAGCATAATGACCCTGCAATCACAACACCAAGAAAATACCTCCCCTAATAATTATTTTCTTCCTAATGGTTCAGTTTGTACCCGCCTGTGGGTTTTGTCATCACTGCCTATACGGCGGAAAGATTTATCACTCCTTTCAATAATAATCTACAAATGGATTCCTTGTTTTGCTACACACCTGAAAAAAACGAAAGTCGTAAAATAAATAAGAGGAGAATTCAGTAACGGTGCAGAAATCAATGGTTGGTGTGCAGGAATGCTGCTTTAACCTTTGCCTGCAGGTGTTCAGAAACACACCAGAATCCATCTGGTCGCTTTCCCACTTCAACTGTTTGAGACCGACCCCCAAAAAATGAGTGGGCCAATTAGGTGCGAGTATTATGCTCTAAGGCGGGACATCTTCAACGGACATGTAGCTGCTGCTATCACACCTCAGATTCAATTAATTAACTTCAAAGGAGGAACAGCAAAAGCGTGAAAGTTGTGGTTTGTCATGATGTCTGCTTACTTTGATTTACTTGCACTGGAAAAAAATAGAAATCTAGAAAAGCATTTTTTTTTTTTTTTTTAAATAAGTGCATTTGTTCTTGAATTGAGGAGGTTAATGAGACAATTTGCAAATGGGACGAGACAATTTACATTTAAAATAATAAAAAAATAGTTGCATTGTCTTATTTCAAGTGTATATTATCTAATTATCTTATTTTAAAAATAAGAGTAAAGATCATCATGGCAAATCATCATATTTACCCACTCAAATTAAGGGTCAATACACTCAATTTAAGAAATATTTACTTCTTTCTAGATCATTTTTGCAGTGCGGAAAATTCTGCTTAATTGTTTCCATGAACAAATTTAATCAGTGCAGTCCCAGATGAATTATGTGTAGAACTCAACTAAAATAAAGCACAATATAAAAATGGCTGTCCAGGTTAATTTGGCTTATTAACAGATACTTTTTAAGTCAGCAAACACTTTAAGCATTAATGCAACACAATAAAGAAGAAACGGCCTGCAATAAAGGTCTTTAT